ATATTTGGGCTTGCCTGACGTTTCTTAAACGATTTAAAGTAGAAACGCTTCATGCCACTATTCATCACGCATAAAGGTTGCAAAGTAAGGTACAGTAATTGGGCATAGCAAGAAATTTAAACATGATGATGACTTCGCATAAATATATTTACAATTCCCGCTACGATTTAGCTGCTGAACGACGGCCTCTTTGAAATAGCGATTATAAGTCAGCCGTGGAGGTATTTAACTTGCCCTTAAACAGATGACGTCGACAAATACTTGGTTAACAGCAACATGCGCAAAGAGTCGATTGCTGTTGGTCTGTGATTAAATAAATTAGTTCTTTAGTTGCCACAAAAGGCATAACAACTGATGGAACTTTAACCCGCAGAGCTATTGTAACGCCGAATGAAAATGTTTTGCATTTGTCTGTAAAATAGTTGAAGATAAGAGTGTCTATAATAGAAAATGCTTCTATAGCACTGAATCACAACCTAATCTGTGATTTTGGAAAACAGAAGAACAAGAAAGAGTAGCAAAGAAGGTTCAAGCTAAAATGAATGAGTAGTAGTTGCTATTGTTGATAGGAAAAGCCAAAGAACGAGAAACTTCTTGCACAAATGAATTTTCGATTGTGGAGTAAAATATTTAGCCTAGTATACTGCACATAACAGCTTCCTCCAAAGAAAGAAACATTCCGTGAGAAAAACCAAGTGCTATCAGCTTTTTCGCACTTGAAGAGTATCTAATAAAAGGCTTTGCCCTTTGCTTATCAAGCGACAAGTGATGCCAAAATGCAGAGTTTGTGGAATGCATTTGAAAACATAAAATTTTACTCGTTTTATAATTAAAAAACTTTAGCATTAATGTTTCTGCACCTCTTTTGGGATTCTTAGGATTAAGTCAAGCTCCAACTTTGAATACGTTTTGCTCTGAAGTTGATCGGAATAGTCATCTAATAAGCTAAGAAAAAACTCAGCATAAATTTTGCGGTGATCTCTGTAAAAGCGGTCCGAGGTGGTTCGCGTTGGAAAAAAGTTTTGCCTCAAATTTGCCCATTAAACTATCTTTTAAATGAAAACACTTTGGTTTCTGGAAATACGTTAAAAATTTTTTTTGAGAGTTCTCAAAATAATCAAAGCTGCCCTTTTTTTACCTCGAGACATCGAAGATTTCAAAAGTTGACAATCTCGCTCCTTGTAACACACTACATCCAGCAAGAAATCGTTTGAACTCCTAAATTTTGTGATATACAAGGGGTTTGGAAAGCGTTTCAATTCTGATATGTGTCTTTTCAGAGGTTAGCCATAATTTATTTAAAACACCCGTCAGACAGCTTTCTGAAATTGGTCAAAAGTATACTCTTTCTTTCTTGGGTGATAATTCTCAAGTCCAGACCAGACCATTAAAAATTCCGGTTGATTACTTCTTATAAGATGTTCGAAGGCATAGAAATGTAAAAATATCTTGCACTTAGTAATTTTCTTCGCCGTAGTGACTTCAAACTTCTAGTGATTTTGCTAGCGTGACAGCAGAATTATGCAAACTGGTCTGTTGAGCAAACTCCGACCGTTTATTTTGGTAACCTCATAAATCTTAGATTTTAACCATTTCAAAAAGAAAAGATAATAGGATAGAGCTTTTAGAACGCACTGATTGATTTTATTAACTGTGAAGGGCTAAATCCTGGCAAATGATTCTGTCTCGTGACAAAAAAGGTGAACAAAACGTATCTAATATCATATTGATTAGCGTTCGGTCAACGTGTTAAATGAGAAACTTAAAAAACAAAATTGGCTTCTGTTCTTTTTATATCGAGTTTAGAGAGCTTAAGCTATTCAAACCTGTATGAAAATTTCAGAACCAAACTAAAGGATTTTAACCATAAGTATAACGGCATTACCACTACGAGCAGTTCCTCCTTTTCGGCGAAGTCCGTGGCGCAGGTCCAAAAAAAAATCAGTAAAGACAAAATTTATTTCAGTGCCTCACTCCGAGCTTTAACTAGCTGATTACGGGCCAATTTAATTGAGAGGTTTTAGAACACTTTTTTCTTCCAAATACAACATGTTGCAGTATTGCCAAACATTTCGTCTTGTGAAGTAATATTTGGAACCCTTTAATTGCCAGCCTTTGCTTTCAAGTGTTAATAATAATTTTTTCTCTGATTTCATTCTTGTGAGGAAGGAAACTCCAGCAGAAATTAGCGTTAGACTGTCTAGATTTATTCATTCTCTCAACGACTGTAACATATTTAAAATGCATATCAACGCTTCCTTGATGTTGTAAGTGCATAGGCCATTAAGCTAAAAATTGCTTTTAAAATGTATCATTGTGTTTCTTTTTTTTTTTTAGTGGAAAGCATCATAATACAATGCGAAAAATTTTTCAAATATGTTTTCTACAGTTTTCCTGAGCCATTTACCCTCCACCCTCCACCACGCATAGAGAATTTACTTATTTTTAATAACTGAACGCTTCTTTCTAAAAGTCGCAGAAAGAGACTCCATCTTGAAACCAATGTTCCTGTCCATTCCGGTAAGTCCAGCCTCCCCCCTAAGCTGGTGGCGTGGTTCCAATTCTCGCAGATCTTGTCTGGCTTGGTTTTGCTCCTGTGGACTGATATGGAAAAACCTCATTTGGCGACCAGTAAGAGGCTTAAACGAGTGCCGAGGGATTTCAAGAATTTGCTCGCGTGTCATTCCTTGAAGACGCTGCATGACCTGCCGGTAGACAGGATTTTTGGGGTCGTCGTATAAAACACAGGTTGGCCATCCTGGCCTTTCAACATCGGGAAGATTTGAGTTGTCGAGAAAATCTCCAGGTCGGTACCCTGTTCCAATCATTGGGTTCGTTATATTACGAAAGTGGGCTGTCAAATGATCTCTGCTTTTTTCTTGCCAATCTGACCAGATCTTGTCGATAAAGCCATGATGAAGGAAGAATTCGGGAGCTTCAGCTGAGGTGACAAGACACATGTCACCGCCTATCCTACAGTGAACTGTGTCGTGGAGGTTAATTCGAAGATCCCTCTCGAAAATGTTGAAGCCATCAACGGTGGGAGGATGAAGCAGAGTCAAGTAGACAGCAATGATGTCAGGTGTAAAACCTGCAGAAGACAGAAGATCTGAAGCGGACACGGTTTTACGCCTTAAGGTGGCCTAAAATGCATCCTCTACTTTCAAGCTCTAATTCTTTGAACAGACGATAATAACACCCTCTGATGAGATCCCTTGAAACGACTTAACACGCTCTGGAAGTAATTCCGCGTACCGGGTTAAATGATGAAAGCATAAGGGGAACCTCTCATTCTCCCACATAGCCTCCCTCCCCCCCTCATGCCAAGGTTAGACAGGAGCGAGGAAACGACATAATATCGAAGGCAACTAACCATTGAAATCTCTGGTGATGCAACCCCCGTTTGTCTTCGTCCATGAGTCTTGACCGAAGACTCCATCTTGAACACAGCGTGATGGTGTAATGCCATTGCCTCCCAATCCAGAGGGTCCGCTATACCAAACTCTTGTTTTGTCTGTGTGCCAGGGTGTCATGGAGACAATACTCCAGTCCCAATAAGGCACGGTTACTCGGCAATCGACTCGGCGCAACAGGTTTTCATATTGAAGAATGTACCTTGGAAAGAAAAATCAAATAAACCGCATCGTGTTAAACATTATGCATATAAATGTAGAGTTTAACTTGAAGGAGAACATTTGGAGTGGTTGAAGAGACTGTCCAGCACATAATCTAAAGATGTTTAATAAATGTGTAAATGTGTATGGTTTGAAACGAGAGGAAGGTAAAAGGAAGGGGTGGAGGGGAAGGATGATGTGTCAAAACAGAGTGGCTCAGATTCCATTGCTTTTCCTCGGTTTTATTTCCTCTGGATCTACTTCACAGCCCTTTATCCTTCTTGGCGGGGGGAAGCATCGCGGGTGTGAATTATCTTGCCTTAGTCCAGAACCCTCAGCTCGTAAAATTAGTTACTCACCAACGATGCCATGGTAGAAACTGATCCTTTTGATGAATTCCTGTTGGAAACAATCTTTGGTGCATGGATATAAGTTTCTGGTACTCATTTTGAAATTGAAGATCGGTTGAAGCTTTCCAAACGGTGTTGACGTACAGTATCCGCTCGGCTTCCGTCATAGAAGTAAACTCCTTTCGCACTCGGCAGCAGTTTTGAATTTGACCACCAATGCAGTAACATGTATCACCGCAATAGTCTGAGACTTTGGCGCCTTCGTTCGAACAGGACTGAGAATCACCCAGAACTATGGCACAGACTACAATACAAGGGAAAATGTCATTGAACGGAATCAGTACATGGCCCCGCTAAAACGATTTTTAAGTGTTAATATAAGATTCTCGAGCTTCAGTTCACACTTAGGACGAACTTTTAATTGGATAAGCAAGGTTTTTTCTCAACATTTTCTTACAGAACCGTATTTTAGAAACGTGAATTATCGCATATCTACAGCAGTAAATGTAAATCAACACGAATCATGACTTATCAGGGAAGAAAGGTCAGTCATGATCAGTGCTTGTTTACAAAGTAATATCAAGCGCCAAGCGCAAATTGAGGACCGTTACATATACCGATCTGCTTCGTTTCCGTGGTGCAAAAGATATATGGAAAGATAAAATTCCTTACCTGATAAAGCCACAGAGAGTAAAAGCTTCATTGTCATCCTTTGAGGAAAAATTCTCTGACCAGAAAGGAAACTGAATAGAAAGAAAATAAACTATGAAAAAAAAAATTATCTGAATAAAAATAAGAAAGACAAAATTCTACAGCCATCAAACATTTGATATTGTCGCCCTCTTTTCGTGTTAACAAAATTACCTCGTTTTCTGATTTGGAAAAAATTTCATTTAATGTCAAATACATGATATCCCATTTTATAACAAAAAGGAGATACCTGGCTGTTTTTAAATGCAGTGTGTTGATATTTTTTCATGACTAGACAATTAATAAGAGGGAAAAATTCTACGGCCATCAAACCTTTGATGCTGTCGCCCTTTTTTTGTGCAAGAAAACTACGAAGTTTTCCAATGTGGAAGCAAATTCATTTAGTGTCTAATACATGACATTCAATTTTATAACATATATAAGATATATAAGAAGATACCCGGCTTTTTCCAGGTACATTGTGTTCAAATATTAATGCCACAAGCAAGCATAAGCTCTGAACACGTGCAACACAAGTATATCACAGCCGTCCATAGCAGAGGTAACTAGAATCCTGCGTCAAATCAGTGTCACATGTCAATAAAAAAGTAGTCTAAGAATGTTAACGTTCAAGAATGTTCTTATAGTGGCACAAGGATAAAAAAAACAACGCACCCAAGCAGACGTGACGTATATTTTACCAGCTGTTCTATCATTGTCTTTCGCATGTCAGAACTACTTTAAACTTCTGGTGCAAATGTCATAAGGCTGGTAACTGCGTGCCTCTCCTGAAGTGCTTCTCTTTTCGTTGATTTTTTTGGCGCTAAGACCATCTTCTTTTTTCAAAATCTTCTGTAAGAAGGCCATTTTAATATTTCTCAGTAAACTTTAATTTAAGACTTCAAACCCTTCTATAAGTAGTCGGATTAGATTTTCTGCTTTCAAGAGCCTCGCCATCGCAAGTTCTCTATCGTCTTTTGCACTACGGATACTAAATGATGTACGTTGTTCTTAATTACATGCTTTCATGCGATTAATACTGGCACCTGTGTGGAAGTTTAACCTTGGCGTACACGCTGCCTTGAAGAATTAACATTTACCTGGTGCTAAAGTACACTGAAAAAAACTTTTATCGAAAATAATTTCATCGAATGAATTTGCTACTTTTTAGCGACCGTAATACTTGCTCTAAGGGTCTTTCTGTCTGTCACATTTAGTAATGGCGAATATCAAACCCTGAGAGCATTTTATTTTAGTGATGGCGGCTCCTAAAAAGAAAGACGGATATTACATATATTAAGCTCAGGTTTGTTCTCTATCTGGAGCACTCAAAACATCTCTAATGTATTTTAAATGTAATTTATTTTCGAATACTTTCATTTTTGTTTCTTTTCTAGAAGTCTTGATTAGATAAAGACTCAGAATATCCGGATTGGAGAAATTTTTTAACAGAATCGACCCAGTGAGATCTCCTTACTGGTAAGGATATGCTACCCTCTACACTTTTAATGTCCTGTTGGAAAAAATTACATTTAGACCTTCCGACTCACTGTCTGATTGACTGACTGGCTAACAGACCAAGTAGCTGACTGACAGGCTGACTGACCGAATGACTGATTGGCTAACTGACTAAATGTATAGTTGATTGGCAAACAGACAGCCTGAGCTGACTGTCTGAATAATGGAACAAATGATTCACTAGTTAGCTAGCTGATTAACAGTCTAAAAAATGGCTAGTCTGACTAACTGTCCAACAAGGCGACTAACTGTTATTGGGAAACCAAAATCATTTAAAGTGGTTTTGGTTGCCTATGCCATTTGTAGGTTGGTGGGTTCTCTGAGGCTCTCATCAAAATCTCAGAAAAAATATCGTCTGCTGTTTTGGCAAGGCAGACTTTTTTAGGTATCATAAAGGAATTACGAAAAGGGCTTTTACAACAAAGCTTAAACATGTTTTAAAGCTGTTTTGTTAAACACAGTTCATTCTCGTTTTCTTCATAGAAGCTGCACCAACCGATGTAGGAATAACGAAGGTAAGTTTCTAAAGAAACTGTGGTGCTTCAAACGATATTTGTCGACTTCAAACGATTTTTGTCGACTTAAAAATTGACAAATCGAAATACAAGGTAGCGACAACTTTAATCCCGTGAAAAATTCAGTTCTGTGTTTGATTTTCAATCAGTTAAACCCGGTTTAACTAATTATGATTTCAAATGGTGAATTAGGTACAAGTTGTAGTTGTTCCGATTGGGAGTCTAACTCGTTGTTACACGTTACCTTAGCCAACCTATATATAATATTTAATTAATCAAGGCATTTCAGCCAATTAAAACCCTTAGAATCACAATATAAATGATGCTTGCAGCTTCACAAGATATACTGATAAAATAATCCAGATAGCATTGGCCGATTGGTGAGTTGAAGTTCTTTCCTAAGTAACTATATATTTCAGATACTTCGCTATTTTTTTACCAAAGTACGAACAAGCGCTTGCCACAAATTTTAACTTAGGGTTTCTTTGTCGTCAGATGCGCGATTTGATGGTTAATGGGGAGAATTGTCGTCCAGGGCATGTATTTAAAAAATCTATATCAAACAGGAACTAAATGCACAACATTTTCCTTCATTTATCGTGTTATTAAAAAGAAATATTTTGTAAAAGCAATTAAGAACACTTCCGTGTTTATGTAGCCATATCTAAAAACTCAGAAGGTTGAGAGACTTCTAGACACGCGGGAGGTTGGGAGAATGCTCGGATGTTATGCAAATCCGACAAAAACCAAGAAAGGTGAGTTTTTTCTGCTACCGTTTGGAACATTAAAAACATGATTAATAGTTTACAATTCGGTTGTCAAGCTTTTGTATCTGTGCTCTGCATAATTACTCTTCGCTAATAATCATCATCTCCGTTGTTTTTATTCGCAGTAATTACTCCTATTTCAGTGCACCTTCCGTTCGTAATGAAATGATTATTTTCAAACTTATTGCCTTGAAGTGGCATTATTTTTTGTCCACGCAGTGATTCTAATTCTGGTCAAACGGCTTCGATAGACATGAGATAAAAAGATAATAAGAAACTGTTGTAAATGCTAAAGTTTCAGAAGCTTGCAAAAGGACTACAGGTACATTTTGACAGCTGTCGACTTAAATTATCTAAAACGTCATTAAACTTTATGGTATTTGTCACCAGATAGATGCAAACGTCGAGGGGCGACCGTATGATTGGTTTATTTGAAAGAACGATGTCATAAACTTAATATGTGATTGACAGAAAGAACAAAATGTTAATTGGCTGATCAGCCATCGTTGTGTAAAATATTTAAGCTGCGCACATATTTATCCTCTATAGATTATCAACATTCAAAAATTATTGCCGGTATTATTGTTGTTTGTTTATTTCTTCTACTGAATATTATCATATTACAATTATTGCAATTATATATGTATATCATTCTCGTCTTTTATTTTCCTAAAAATAATACTTACGCTGCGAGCAATCATTTTCACTAAAGATTTCTCTTTCGAAATATTTATCGCCAAAGGTAATTATATTCATTTGCAACACGTTGAACATTTAAAACTTAGCGGTGTTGTATCAAATCATAAAATATAATGATTCAGTTACCTTCCGTTTGAATTTTTAACCGTGTTTGTGCTGTTTGGGGTCTGACGACCAACAAAACAATAGGATTGACTCTGAACACGACTTTGATCAAAGCACGCTTTTTGTAACGACATGGGCGGTTCTCACTCATGTCCCATAGTCCTTTTCGCTTACATAATGTAGGTCGTGATGGCATACATAGAATATTAGTGTGTTGAATTGGGTGTCATGACAGAACTTATTATAAACTCCTAACTCAACTTGCTTGTTCAGATATTACTCTAAGTGGAGTCAGATGGTTGTCCGCCCACAATGTTTCTGCCTTCTTATTGGCTCGATTCCAAGTGAAATCATCAAAGATTATAGAAAACGGTTTTGGATTCTGAAATACATGTAAAGTACCTGTTATCTTCTTTTTTGTTGGTTTTTTTCGTCCACTTCGTTAGAAAAGAATCAATTTATTCCCAGAGGAGCAATTCAAAGAAAGTTTTCTTTTTTTGGTTACCGTTTGAACATTTATAACATGGTTACTCGTTTTAAGAGTCAGCTGTCTCAAAGGCTGCAGATGAAGTGCTCTGTAAAATAAATCTTCGTTGATAATCATCTTCACCATTATTTCGATTCAAAGTTCATTTTTCTTATAATTGTGTTCCTTCTGTCGTTTACAAATAATTATTATTAGGAGTTTGCACCGTTACTCTGTGTTCCAGATGAAGTCTTCGGTCAAAACTCATGGAAAAAGGCAACGGGGGCTGCATCACCAGAGATTTCAATGGTTAGTTGCTTTCATTATTATATCGGTCATCGATATTGGAGAGACAGATATTCTGGGAGCCCACAGGTTCCCTTAATGTAACGTTTTCATTGTTTATGATGCCTCTAAGCCGTATTTTCAATGATAAATGAAAACTTTACAGAACTGGTTTTCAAGGTACAGAAACACGAGGCCTAAACTAAGAGTGTTTCTTAGAGACTGTCGCATTGCAATGGTAACCCTGTGCGTAAAATTACTTACTGTCAGAGCGTGTTAAGAAATAATTGCGCACCATTTTTTAAAGTCGTTTCGAGGGATCTTGCCAGAGGGTATTATCGATTGATCAAAGAATCAGAGCTTGAAGGTAGAGAAACCATATTAAGCCACCTTAACTTCGTTTAAGTATTGTTCGTTTTCTCAGTAGCTGAGCTGTTTTTTTTTTTTGTTTTTTTTTTTGTTAACTATTCGGCTATTTTTTTGTCTTCTTTGTATAACAAGCAGTTATTTGCGATCATTGAGACATAAAAGTTCGTTACAACGATATTCAGTTAGCCTGAAGTGTAAGCGTCTTATTAGGACGTGTTAGTGTTACACCTCCTCCTCCCTCCCCCCTCCCTCAGATGTTTTTAAAAGCGAAACACCCCACCTGGAATTCAATTCAAAACAGATGCTCCTTTTCGAGAATACGCATCTTTATTGTTAAAAGAGCCTCACATAATTTTAATTCAATTTCCATTCATCATAAAACTACAGGACAATAATACAAAATACTGAAAACAAAAGAAAACTAGATTTACCGAACGTAAAAAAGTAATTTGATCTCTCATGAAATTGCATCAGGTTTTTTAAGACAATTACATTTTTAGCGATATCCTTTTTCTTTCTATATCTGTTAGAATCTGCAGGAAAAGTCATCTCCTTTGATGATTAATATATAGCAGTGTATTGCACCTAAAAATATGTTTATAAATTGTCATTTTGAATTATACATGTCAAGCCATATTTCTATCTCAAAAATGGCTAAATTGGCTCCAATTATGCCAAATTGTACCATGGCGTGTTGTGAATTTTAAGATGTGGAAGGAAAATTTTTTACAATCACCATTAACCCTTTGACTGCCATAAAGTGACTAGAATCTCTTCGCAATATAACCTCTAAAGAACAAATTAGGGCCACGAGAGTAAAAGGAAATGATCATTCACTAAAGAAGCTCTTGCTTGTTTAACAAATTCTCCTTGTCGACATCTTAGGAAATGTTTGTAGAACAGTATGGAGAATACGTAAACTGATGTTAGGGTTTAAGGATAAACCGTTCTCAGGTGCTCATAAAAGATTGCTCTGGCCTTGGCTGGCTAAACCCACTTGACGGTCGAAACTGAAAATCTGGAGGAAGAGATTTAAAGAGACAAGAACTTAATAAGCATACACTAGATAAGGGCATTCTTAGCAACAAAATTTAAGTTCGAAGTTAAATTCCGTCCGGGTAGCTTCTACCACAAGGAAATACATCGCTGTTTGAGAAACACCCCCTGAATTTATATGGTATTCTGTAAGTTTCCTTATACAGAAAAAATGAATGTCCCTGAGAGTCTCTTTGACAGTTCACACGATAAAGTAACCATAATGTAAATGGGAAAGGTCGGAGACTTGATCCTTGAATCTGAAAGCTCAGAACATGTGCCAAACAATTCCCTTAGATTTGAATTCGAGGAACAGGTAAAATGGTTTAAATTTTGGTCTCGACTTGTTGGAGGGACTGCAGTCGCAATTTTCTCTCCTGTGTTCTAACCTGAAAAGATAGCAATAAAAATGGTTCCTTCGTGAATTATTTTCTAGCTGTTTGGGTTACCTTGTTGTCGTAGGAGAAAATCGCGTCGTTCGAGGCGGTATTAACACCCTCCACTTGCAAAATAGGCTCTTCTCCGAGTTCCATGCTGAGGGACTGAACTTCATATGTAGGGACAAGCGGAATAGCGCCATGCTGAGGTGGTTCTTGTTCGAATCGAATTATATTTTCTCTCACTGACGGCCCTGACGGAGAAGGAGTCCTGAAAAGGACGAGTGAAATGGATGAATGGATATTCTGAATTTATTCGCGAATCGTTAACATTGATTGATGATATTGATCTGCTCTTTACGTTATCTGAATAATCCATTGAGTTTTCATTAGTTTGTTTTGATTCAAGACCAGATGACTAAGTCACTTCGTTGAAGATTTTTATTAGGCTATCATCGGCGGAAGCACCACAGAGAAAAGGCAGGAATTGGTGCGTGTCTCAAGTCCGCTTAATTTAACCAGGAAAACGAGAGTTAACCAAATTTTTACTGTGCCTGATAACGTGCATAATTACTTAAGATTTCCTCCAATAACCAGTAAAAAAAACATGGCTTCACTACATATGTGTATGTTATATCAACACAAGAATGCAATGCCTTTCGTGACAAATCTGCCATAAGTATTATTTTTGTTAGGAATATTTGTTTGACTTACCTAAGAGGAAGCAAAAGGAAAAATAACGAACTCAATAAGAGGAACACAAACACTGCAATTGGTATAGCTGTTTCAAATTGAAAAATAGAAATCAACGAGTTAAAAACCTACTCTAGATGGTGAAAACCAAAACAAAAACAAAAAAGAAAACAAAATAACAAAGCGAAACATTACGAAAACCGAAATTGTCTGATTATTATGGTAAACTTCACAGATTGGAACGTACCAGCTAAATGCGTATCAAACAGTGGGTCCTTGGCGAAAGCAGCATTGTCAAGCCTCTCCGCCAAAGTGGTTGGGAATTCTTGGAAGTCGCCTGGTTAGACAATGAAAGTGGAATAAAAAATAAACAAATAAATGTATGAATATTTTAAAAAATTGATCAAATAAATCAGTAGATGAGCAAATTAGTAATGTAAATTAACTGATTTACGCGATTTTTACGATTGCTCTGTGCAGTAACTAGACAATCAATTGATTAATGCCATGATAAAATATCACCTCGCCGTTTGCTTCTGTTCCGATCCTTTGCGGATTTATTGCTGCTAAGATCTTTTAATTCTTTAAAACTAAAACATGCATCTGCTTATAAAATTATTAAAAACAGGAAAAACGCGTAAAGCAGATTATAGATACCTCCTTTGTCACAACCGTACATCGCTACCCGCAAACATGCAAACAATCCAGTGTGATTAAGTGGATGAATTCGAACAAAATGAGCGCTTGTTCCGTGGAGAGAAACATTTTTCCCGGAAATCCTTGTGTTAGCTTTGAACTAAAAAATCAGAGATGAAACATTTTAGAAAATTGATTGACTTAATCCTTTACAATCGAACCTCTGTAGTTGATTATCGTCACTAGACTCTTGATACTCGGTTATTGGTCTCGCTACTCGCATAGATCGAGCATCGAGCATCAAGCATCGAGTAACAAATACTTTAAACTTATTTTGGGCGACGTTAAAAATGTCAGATTATAATAATCATCTACTTACAATTTTGGTTTTTCCATCTTCAGTGTAGTTGACAAAAGAATTCCCCTCTGTGCTGTTGCTCGTTGAAACGTAGTAACTTTCAACCCACAAATTAT